TTGCTTCTGAGAAAAGTTTGAATTAGATTCTTTGTCTATATTGTAATCACCACGGAGAGCACAACCTTGTCTGGCGAGAAACTGAATATTTATGATTATTATTATTATTATCAAAATTGTTCTATTTTCCATTTTTCTTCTGTATGAGTTTTGCTGAGAAGTTCACCAACATCTTTAGTTTTTAAAAGAATAGTTATAACCTTCTCAATGGTTTCTTGATAGAGAGAGAGAGTATTTTGGTTTTTCTGGAATTTTTGTGGACCCTTTTTCCAATTAGAAAATCCAGTTTTCGTGAAAACATCCTCACTGCATTTTAAAGACGATAAATTAAGCATTTCTATTAACATACAATAGTAGCATAAAACTGTATTTTTACATTCATTGTAATGCAGCCACGGAAACAGCTTGTACTATTGCTGACAAAATGATCGCTTTTGACTACCACATGTACCTTTTGGAAAAACTAACACAAGTTGATGTGGACTATTACTTAGATGCTTTTTTAGGTAGACTATAATAGTGGAGGTTGAGTTAACATCATTGTTGGCTGAGTTATTTAATGAAGAAGAAAAATTAAAGATGATGATGATTAAGTAACAGTGAATGCAAAGCCAACATATAAAGAAGAAGATGATGATAAAGTAACAGTGAATGCAAAGCCAACATATAAAGAAGTAGTAGCAGTAGTACCAGGGTTAGCAAGAGATGCAAAAAAAAAAGTACTGTCAAAACCATTATAGTTCGAAGTAGCATCTAATAAAAATGCTGTAGTATTGGTAGTTGCAGGGCTAAAGCAGGGTGTAAACTAACCCTGTGGGGTCCCATCAAATGCAGTATTCCCAAATGCTGGTAAAATTAAAATTCTCAATTAAAAGTTAAAAAAATCCGATCTCCAAATAAAGTTTGCCAAAAGAAAGTTTAATAATAATTCTGAAAATTATTAAAAATTAATTATTATTAAAAAATAATAGAAAAATAGCATAAAAAATTATAATTTATTATTTGTGTGAAACTTAAAATAAAACAGCCGTTATTGGTGCAACTACACAACTGCATAATTGTGAAAATGTCTTTTGGAAAAAACTTCTTGAAAATTAAAATCCCAGCGATTCTAGGGGATTTTCTTGGCTACTTGCTTGTAAAATTCACTTCTTAATGTTTGCAAATTCTTTGCAATGCCTTCCAACATTAGCAAATACTATATAAAAAAAAGTTAGCAAGTAATAAAGTAATATCTAAAAAATTAACAAATTTGTTTAGTTTAATACCCGCAAATGCTATTTCTTTAAATGTTTCGCCTGTTTTGGCTAAAAATTCAAATGACTTATTAAGTCTTACTGTAAACTCTTCTTTAAATAGTACGTGTGCTTCATCAACAATGTTTATCTAAAATATCAATGTTTATCTAAAATACCAAGAAGTCGTTTATATTACAGAAAGTTTTTAGTTATTGTTTTTTCTATTTTTGATTGGTATTTTATATCAACTGAATTAGGTATTCCCGACGATTATAATCTAATTTTACTTATCAGCATCAACTAAAATCTTTTTTTTTTTCTACTATTATTTTTCGACTAATATTTTTAAAAAGCCACCTTTGAAATATATGTTCAATAAAAAAAAATGGTTTAATTATTATTACAAACTGGTACAAGAAATTTATTTAATGAGTCAGTGTAGTTAAGGCAATTTATAGATTATTTGAATTCTTTCATTTCCCAGTGGGCACAGGACTTTAAAAAGTCATATTTTGATCGTTCTAACAACGTCCAATGTGTTCAAAAGACGTTTAAAAGGCGTCTTTATGCCCTGTGCCACTGGATTGGAACCAGCATGATTTTGTCAGCTTATTATGTCCAAAGAAGCAGGAGTGCCAAAAGCATATTTTGTCTTTAAGATAGCTAACTTCCAGACATGGAGCAAACTCCAAACATTTATGTGTTTGTACTTGGGATGCTTTGCAAAAAATTTTGATTTTAGCTTGGTAACAAAAAAGCCCCAAAATTTTGGTCTCCCATTTTTTTTAATAAATTATGAACTTGTGTTTACTATTTTCAAAACCAATTTCAATTCTTTTTTTTTATTTTTAAAATATTTCTTTCAATGATACAATTTATTACGTGATGGTGTAAAGGTTGGTCCATAAAGGCGAGTTTCCACACATCCAATTTTCTACGGAAACGGAAAAATTATCTTGTGAGTATGCGCAGTACTCATTCAGAAAAATTAAAACTTTTTTAATAAGAATACCGGAATTTATTTCCCTTTATTTGTCCTAATTTAGCTTTAAGTTAATGGTTTTCTCATTTTTTTTGAAACTGTTCTTCTTTTTGTATGGGTAATGAATAAAAAAAGTTAAAAAGCAAGCACATTGTAAAAATATATATTTAAATTTGTTTTCACAGAAAATATTTTGCAAACCTAGAAAAACTGAAAAAAAAAATAGAAAAAGTTGAAAGAAATGTCCTAAATTCGGGATATATTCAAAATATAATCTCTGTGGATTTCAAAAAATTATTAGTGTTATTTTGCCCAGTTTTTATTGCTATTTAATTTGCTGTCAATAACACGTCCCCCATATGTGGTCCATGTATGAAGAGTATAGCATAATAAAAAAATATTTTGAAAAGTTGTTAAAAACAAAAATTAAACAATGAAAATCATTTTTTAATGGAGATTTTTTTTTTTGCATCTTTTAGAAGTAACTTACAGAGGGTTTCGGGAATTTTGACTAGTATTAGTTACCTAGTCAGTGCTGTGGCTAGTGGGTTGGAAGCCTGCCCCCAAAACCAATCATTAGGGTCCCAAATTTTTAAACATTTTTCCACTAGGTATTACTAAAAATAAAAAAAAAAGAGTTCCTCAAATTTGTAGAAATGCCACTAAATTTGCAAATGGGCCCCCTTAATTTGCTAGGCCCCCCTTCAATTAGGCGGTGTTGGGTAGCCTAGCCATGGCAGGCCTTGTTTTAAAGCATTACGCCTAGAGCAATTTACATACGCCTTAAGCGATTTTTACGTACGCGTAGAGCTGTTTTGGTTAAGCTACTTTTTATCATTTTTTAACTTTTAAATTAGCGGTAACATAAAAAGAGTAATTAATTTTTAAAACCACATTAACTTTTAAATAACGATATGTAAAGATATTTATTACAAAAAAGAATTTACGTTAAAAATAATTGTTGAAACTTTTCATCGCGATATATCTTACCTTTTTATAGCAATTAATTTTATGCTAAACTTTTTATCCAAATATTTAACAACATGAAAAATTGTTCGTCAATTCTTAACTACAAACTTTTTGCAATGTTTTTAAGAGAAAGTAGTAATTTTTTAAAGTTTTTAGTAAAAAACTTTTAAAAAATCTATATTCCATATTTATTAATACAGAATATAAATGTTTTTTGTAATATAGATTTTTTAAGAGTTTTTTACTGAATTTATAATTAAAAAAATTTGCAAAAAAATTTGTAATTAAGGATTCACATTTTTTTTAATATCTCTTAAAATTTTTGTTATCATGATAACAAAAATATCAAGACATTTTTTCGAGATATTAAAAAAAATATGCCAATGAATGAACAATCTATTTGTATTTTTCTAAAAATTACTTCATTAATTGTTACTCTTTGCTTTTCTTATTAGTTAAAGGTATATAGATACCTTTACCTTTAAGTTATGCGGGGAGAGGGGGCCGGCACAGAAAAAAAAACAACCTGTTACTCGCAATTTTTGAATGAAGACAATTTGTTAAAAAAAAAAGAGTTTTGTAATTATACGTAGAATGAAAATACTTTTGAGTTTGTTTATAAATTAAGGAACTTAATTTTTAATAAACAAAATTTTACGAACGTTTATTATAAACAGATATGATTTAATTTATTAAATATACTTAAATTATTTTAGTTGAGTATTTTTTTAAATTTGCACGATTAAAGTTTTGCGTAGAAGTATTTGTTTTTTGTTTTAAGAATAATTAACAAAAAAGTTTGCATAATTTGGACTTTTATATTTAATTTAATTTTTTTTTTTAATTTCCTAAATTTAAAAAAAAAAAAATTTATTCGTTAAAAACGATTTTTCTCGATAGCTGTGTTTCTTTGTGATTAGTTTAAAATGTAAAACATTTTTACAATAACATAAAAAATTTATGAATTAAATTACTGGCGAACGCGTTCTAAACTATGTATCAAAAATATGCTCAAAGCAGACAAAACTTTTATATAACCCAAGTTGAAACGCCAAGTAAGATAAATTTAAAAAATATATAAAAACTTAAATTATTCTTTGCTAGTCAAAACAAAATCACTGTTTAAATAATTAACATGGGTTTTTGTTTATCAATGTTAATATTTTTTGTTTACTCCAGAAATTTTTAAAAATAAAAAAATCATTATTATTTTTTATTCAATAACGATTTATAAACAATAATTATTCAAAAACAAATTTCAGAAATAATTAAAAAATGTACATATAAATATATATATTTTTTTTTACTAAATAATATTGAACTAAAATTAATAATAAAATAACAATTGAAAACATTTCAAACTTTTCATAATAAATTTACATTTAAAACGTTTATAGTTATTGGAGTTAATTGTTAAATTGAACTAGTTTGCGGTTATTTATTTATTGCTGTAGTTAAAACATTTTACGTCTATAAAAAAAAAATAAAGATAATTTTATGACATCAAAATCGCATTAAGCAAATGCATTAAGCACTTTTTCATTTAAAACAAGGCCTGCCATGGCTCTGTATGGTACAGAGCTGTGGCTAGACTACCTAAAAACTTGTTTTTTTTAAAAACATTGTTTTTTTTAAAAAAACATTTAAAAAACATTGTTTTGAAACATGAGTTACCAATCATAATAATAAATAAAGTAACAGTAGGTACAGAGTCTGCACCTAATAAACCCTTAAAAAAAAGTGATGCCCTAGAAAAATAATCTAGTTTCAGAAATATAAGATAATAGAAATAGTAAAAAGAAGAGACTTACTAATCTTTGGTTTTCTACTGAGACAATAAAATCAAAGAATGGTTCAAGTCCAGCCTTGTATCCAGGTGATCCTTCTTGAACCTGAAAAAGAATTCAAAAAGCTAAATTTAAGAAAGTTTAAACATAGTTTAATTTGTTTTGAAAACTGCCAGATCTTTTTCAAAACTAAATATATCTTAGCAGATAAGTAAGAACATGAAAGCTATTATTTCAGTATTTTATTTTGAAATTGAGTTGTATTTGCTCTAGCTACCAAGCTTGAGCCTATGTCCCATAGTCATATAATTGCATCTCTTTCTCTTTTCTACAAATACTCTTAAGGTTGCTGCTCAAACAAACTATCACCTCTTGTTCTAACACTAAAACTTAATCTTTCATGACTCATCATTCAGTAAAGTCACATCCTTGAACTGTATCTGCTCATTTGCATTCTAAAAACTTTTATATATCTAGACTTTTTCCTCACACTTCAATGGTTTGGAATTTTCTCTTCTCATGAACATGTTTTCCTAAAATATATAATCTATAGTTTTTAATTCTTTCAGTCTTTTTTTTCCCTGTAAAAAATTAGTGATTGATAATTTAACTAGTGATTGCTTGCAGTCTTGTTAGTAGTGACTTATTATAGTTATTATTTTAAACTGCTTGGTTTTTTTGTCAATAATTTTAACTAATGCTTTTACATTTTGAAATCTTGTTTGTAAAAAAAAAATGCTTTGTATTACATTTTTGTCTCTGCTTTATTTGATAATTATATTTCAAAGCATTTAATAGTTGGTATCACGATGATTTTTTCTAAAATATACTAAGTTTATTTTTTCTGTTACATAGACAGTTTAATTAAAGTTCACAACATATGTAGAAAAATACTATTATTGTATGCTGTATTTAGATAGGTAAAAAAAAACCTTCTATGTTTTAAAAATGATCATTTTTAAGTAATAAAATATTTTAGTGAATAAATTTTTTTTAATAATACGATTAAGTACATTGCAATATATGACATTGCACATACCTAGATTTTAAATATGTTACACTGTTTTTAAAATCATTTTGCAATACCAATATTTCTATAAACTTATATAACAACTTCAATTAAATAAAAAATATATAATAGGTTATGCAAAAACCTATAAATGCAATAACCTGAAAATATATATATTCTTAACTTCTTTTTTTTTTTAATATTATAAAAGTTTTTTAGCAATAGCCTACCGTTTGTGTTCTAAAAATAGAACAATTTAATGTAGCTCAAATGATTATGGAGTTAATATTCGAACAATTTGATAAACATGAAGAGCAAAGGTCCTACAAAGTTCTGTTCTCGGTGAAATTTTCAGAATAAAAAAGTAGTATATAGGTATTATTTGATTTTGTTGGTCCAGCAAAACATGATTTAAGTTGCTAGAATTCCACAAACAAAAATATTACACATAAGAAACATACTAATAGCTTTGTTTTACCATTTAAAAGTTGTAAACTTCTGCTGAAATATGGTAAAAATTGAGAGCATTATCTGTTTTGTTTAGCAAATCAAAACTCTAACCCTGCATAGCTTCTAAACACAGAAAAAAAAACTATAAAATTAGTTTCTTAAGGATCTTTTTAAAATATCTAGTAAAACAATAAGCAGCGAATAATTAATTCTAGAATCAATTTGCCTTAAATCTTCAGGCTGTTTTCAAATTTCTTATATAAAAAGAGTGTATAATAGAAATTGAAAAATAAAAATTTCTACATTCCTGTAAAGACCTTAAAATTAATGAGACATTTAAATTATACTCCCTCAGACATGTGCCTCTATTTGTAAAAATTTTAAACATCTGAACATCTTAGTCTTAAGCCAATAATATAATTATTTAGATACGTAGCTATGAAAATAACTGTTTTTACAATATTATAGGTCTGTCACACATTGATCAGTCAAAAATCTTTCAGAAGCAATTATCTTTTCAGAATTTGATGGCATATTAACTACGCAACCACTTAACAAAACAAAAAAGTAAAAGGGTTATGTGTGTACCAAGACAACTTGCAATCCAGTTGCATCTTGCCTTTTTAACAGTTTTTTTAGTTGCATGTTGCTGTTTGATTACTAATAATGCTTATTTGCCAGTTATTTTCAATGGCATACTATTTTTCATTAAATGTTAGACATGTGTATGTAAATAATCCACAAAAGAATCAATTCCATTTATAGTATTTGAAGATAAAATAATATAATCCAGGCTTGGTCAGGAAGCGGGAGCAATAGCTCTCGAATACTGACCACGGAAATTATATTTAGTTGCGAAAAACTGGCCAGGTTTTTTAGTCGTTTTGAGAAGCTTTAAGTTTATGTACGAAACAAAAAATTTTTGTTTTACGGACATACATGGAAACATAAACAACTTGAATGTTCTCAAAACATCTTACACTAAAAACCCGCCAAATTAACGAACAAACTAATTTTATTGGTTAATTCTTATTTTTTATTTAAAAAGTATGTATTCTTTATGTAAATGTAATTGTGTGTATCTGTTTTTTATCGTAATGTATCTTTTAAAGCAATTATTATGATTTAAACAAAGACTTACACAAATATTTACGTTTTCAATGAAGTTATAATCGTCCTAATTAATAAAATTAATTATTCTTAAAAACTGGTTACACTTTTTTCTGCTTTAATTACTAATTAAATTACGAACTAATTAAAAAGGGCCCACTCACTAAACATCATCAGCGATATTGTGAAGCAGTTTTGCTTCCTCGTCACATTTTTAACCTTTTTAGTTGATTTCTATTTTGTTAATTTAATTTCTATAGTAATTCAATGATTTAACTATTTCATTTGTTTATCTTACTTAGAAGAATTGCTTCAAATATGTTAAACTTTTCAAACTACGCGAAACATAAAATAGGTATTAAAAAAATAAACTTTTTTATTTATAAAATAATTTAGCTTAAATAAAACTAAAACTTGCAAACTTCGTTAATAAAGAATATTTGTTTCCTTTTTAAACAATCGTAAGTTGTTCCTTTATATAAAAAACATCGCTTAATTTTATAAAAAAATTATAAAAGAGCGATGTTTCGAAAATATTTGTTCTAAACGTAATTTATTTAGCTTTAATTTTTTTTTTTTTTTTGTAATTGTTTCTCATCGGTCCAATTAATCTTGATCGCTTGTTGTTTTTTTTGCTTTTAAAAATGTTCTCAAAACGACTAAAAAACCTGGCCAGCTTTTCGCAACTAAATATTATTTACGTGGTCAACAATCGAGAGTGATCGCTCCCGCTTCCCGACCAAGCCTGATAATCTTGAATATTTATTTCAAGATTATCAGGCAAAAGATATCAAAATTTTCTTTACTTTTTGAAGAACGCTTAGTTTTATTAGTTCCAGTTAGTTTTACTTAAATCAACATCTTTTTCCACTTTTTTTGTCTATGACACTCAATCCATCATTTTATCTTGTCGACATTAAATATAAAAAAAAAAGTATTTTCAAAAAAAATGCCTTTTTTTTTGAAAATACTTTTTTATCAACAAAAATCTTGTTCAAATTTTTTTCCAATGCCAATATAAACTTATATTACAATCTTATAAGAAATACATAACACTTTATAGAGCAGCTATGCTTACAAAAATGATTTGTTTGTCCGAATATCAATCCCAGAATTCTAATTAGTAAAACTTTGTGACGTGGACTAAACAGTAAGTTATTTGGCCATGGCTCTTTGGAAGTTTTGATATTTTGTACATTTTAAAAATCAACTGAAAAAGCAAATTAAACTGAAGATAAAATTAAAAAATATTAACAATTGAGAAAATGAATGAAAGATAAATCAAATAAAATAAATTAAAAAAAAAAAAGTTTTTTTAAAAATTGTTGTATTGATTTTAATTTCATTTAAATACATTTTATTAATTAATTAATTTTACTTCCACTTAATGTAGCCCACAGAAGAAAATATTATTTGCACACAAAAACATTTAAATTGAATTTTCATCGCAACATTTTGTTGGTGTTGTACTCTATACATAGTAAAGTTATAAAAAGTAAATTTTAAAAACTCTATATATAATTTATTGTGAAAAGTCAGTTTGTAAAATATGAAACTGTTATTATTAACTTGTTATAATAAATATCACTAAAAGCCACAACAAAAAACTAAAATCTTTTTTTGTGTTTCAGTGATCGGACCCAATTTTAACCTAATTAAAGATATTATGAAAAAAAAAAATTTTTTTTTATTGAAACCATACATGAGACACAAGGACCCAAATTTTAGGTTTAATATTGTTTCCAGTCTCCAATTGCCACAATTTTTTCTCAAACATTCTTATTTTGCATCAGTATGATTATTACAAATTTTATGAAATCTTAAACACTAAAAATTCTGGACCAGCTTGTTTAATCCCCTTTTATTTTTTTAAATATCGACAGACAATTTTCGAAATCTAGGTCATAACAGAACAAGGTACAGTGGTTTTGAAAATGTAACCTGTTTCTGGTGTACTTTATTTTTCATAAGAAATATCTCCACTAAGGTGTGCTTGCATCAACTAATTATCTTTTTTCACCGGTTAACTTGCAAAAATCATTAGTAGAGACCAGGCAGACATCTGCAGATTGTAAAACAAATTTATATTGATAATATAAATATTAAACAATGTATTTCAAGTTTCAAATTTACTGGACCATTTTGGACCGCAAAAGTATTTAACTATATAAATGAAATTTTAACTAAAAAAAGTACTTTAAATGCCCTGTCATTTGAAACCATTTTATTTGACATAACTTAGATGCAAAAGAGTGTTGTAATTGCTCATTAGAAAGATAATACTTGATTTTATTAAATTATGCAATAAAAAGATAAGTTTCTTTATGAATTTTTTTTTTTTCACTTTTTAATATAGTCATATTATATATAGGCATATTACCTTTCAAAAATAAATATAAAACAGCTCAATACTTGAATTTGTCCATTTTCACAAAAAAACTTGCATCAACTGTTGATTGAACTGAACTACAACGACTGTTACATAACAACTGTGCTTCCAAAATGGCTGAAACTTTGGTGAGTAACTGTCAACATATAAACAACAAAATGCACTACTTTTTAATAACGATTGCTGTCATCATCACATTGAGGTCAGAAACTTTTTTTTAAAAAAAAGCTAACTAAATTGTTTAATATATCTTTTACAAATACTCATGGTCCTCACTTATAATTGGTAGAATCTTACCTTCTGCAGACTTCATTAGACCAACTTCCTCTTTGTGAGATTAGCTCAAAATCAACTGCTAAACTCAGTGTTGATGGCTACTATCTTTTGACTTCAATAGTCTAACACTTAACCTGGGCATTCACTTATTGTATCAATTCACCTATTTAAATTCTCTGACTATTCTTTTAGAGGACATACATAAAGTATGTATGCAGTGAAACCACTAAATTGGAAGCCTCCTCCCTTTTATATGTATTTGTATGCTTCCAACATTCTCCTCCTCTGCATAAGTACGCACTATTTAATACAAAATCAACTCCCTCCTCCTTCTCCAATGCATAAATGTTCCAAAAAACATTTAAAAAAATTTTTAGACAATTCAAAATATCTCTATTCTGTAAAATATACGTTATTATTTAAACTTGTCAAATTCAACTGTTTTGTATAATAAAAAAGATATCAAGTTTTAGGATATATGGAAAATGGAAGATAGTCAAACTGCGCACATTGTCTCTGTTTTTAACCTCTCCACCCTTAGTTTGCATTCATACATTTTTGGGTAAACCCAAAAACATTAAACAGCTTATGGTCTAAAACATGTCTTACAAGTGTTGTTCAGAACTGTATGAATCTCTAAAATGTTCAACAACTACTTAACTGAATCTTGATTTACCGCTTGCTGGAAATGGCACCTGCTGGAAATGGCACTTATGGTTCTGAATTCTGGACACAGATTCCTCTAACTAATGGCTCATTAATTAATCAGTCTTTTTTACTATTATTTGCAAAAACTTTGAATCTCAAATTAACAAACTTCTAATATCTTATTTTGAATGTAACAATTTACTCTCTGATAAGCAATAGATTTTAATCCTCTTGTTCTAATGTTTATTTGTTGACTGTTATAAAAGAAAGGTTCTATCATGCATTAGATAAAAAAAGTAAGGAAGGGACTACTGCTCATGGCATATCAAAGACATTCAATAAAGTCAAACATACAGCCATAAAGTCAAACATACAGCCATACAGATCTTGCTTTATATGATGTATTTTATATATAATGTAGGATGCCTCTCTTTGCGTTACTCACAATTTTCTTATTCCTGATTTTATTCCTTACTTTGATAAATGTCTTTTTCATCTTTGTATAGAATGCTGTAGTCATATTTGAAATATGTTTTTAAATGAAGCTGTTGTTCTTTAAGACAAGGTTTAAAACCAAATTTTAATATTTTTTGATAGTTATAATTACAGTGATCACCCAGGTCATTTTTTAAAAATCCGGAAAATATAGTTTATGTACTATATCCAGAAAAATCCGGAACATATTTTCCCTTACTATTCTCCTAATTTTGCTTTCAGCTGGTAGGTTTCAGAATTTTTATAGACATTTTTGACATTTTTTTTATGGCTGATCACTGAAAACGAAAAATGTATATACATTAAAACAAACATTATATAAACTTGAATGTATGAGAAAACATTTTGGATATCCGGAAAAACTATATTTTGAGAAAAATATCCGGAATTCCGGAAATATCCGGAAAAAGATATTCCCTGTAATTACTAAGCTTTAGCCTCTACCCCATCATTGTGAGGTTGCATCTCTTTTTCTTTTCCACAAATACTACCATGGTTACTGCTCAAAGCAGTTATCATCAATTGTTCTTTTAACTTCAAATTTAATGTGACTCATCATATAAAAAAAAGCATTTTTTTACTGAAACTGTTTCTTCATACTCATAAAGTTTTTATTAGTCTTTAAAGTATTAAATAGTTATTCATTTTTGATTTTTTGTTTCCATATACCTTTTTCAAAAAAGTATTATTATTCAGGGGTATTGTTATTTTTTGTACTTTAGTGTAATAATCAAGTTCATATATGTATAATTACGTATAATAGTTGATTTCATTTGTCAGTATAATAGTCCAATTCTGTATAATAGTCAATTTACAAAATAATATTTCTTAAAAAAACTACAAAGGGGGGAGGGGGACTACTGCCCGCCCTCCCCCCTCCTAAAACCTGCCACTGATATTATTGTTATTATTATTATTATTATTATTATTATTATTATTATTATTATTATTATTATTATTATTATTATAATTATTACTTTTATTATTATTATTATTATTATAATTATTATTATTATTATTATTATTAACATTATTGCTTTTATCTTTTAAAGACATATTTATAATTATATATTATGATACATCAAATATATGATATATCTAGAAATGTTATCAAGCATCAATTTTTAAATTTTTTGTTTGGTAATCAACTTTTGCTACAAATTGCATAGCACTTTACAAAAGATAAGGCAATGCAAGAGTTAGTCATTTAGTGCATAAATTATAGTTTTTAAACCGAAGTAATAAGTTTTATTTCATGGAACCTTTGAAATAGCTTTTGATATATTTATCATTGTTGTTGTTAGATTATTGTTATTCAATTATTATATAGTAATAATTTAGATAGTATGTAAAATATCGGGCTTAACAACATTTTGAATATTACCCGAAGAACATGGTAACCTTCAGTTCCTCCACCAGGTATATCGACTGATGATCCAGCTCCCATTACAAATTTAACTACTTTTTAAAAACTTTTTCATAAAAAACTTGAAAAGTATAATTAATTACCAAAACAAAACAAAAATCCAATAATACGTGTCCCTTGCGAAACACGCTCGATTTTATGTTTATATTTACTGAAAAAAAAAACGTTTTGACCAATATTTTCAAGTTTATTATTAATTTATAGTTGTATGTAAAACATATTTAACTAAAAAATTAAGTTGTAATTATTTTCATAAATAAAACTATTTTTTTTTAATTACTAAACTAATTATAAGTCATACTTGGTTTAAACTTTATCTTTGATTAAACATATTCTGCAAATTTGTTGCTCCGCAATTCTTCACCTTTCTCGCGAGCGGACACGATCTTTTATCATTCCTGTCTAACAGCATGGCGGTAAGGAAATTAAGTAAATTGTGAGTCTAAGATAGAATGTGTCTTATAACAACTTTTAGAATTTTTTCCCATCCTTAATTTTCCACTAAATTAAAAATTTACCACTAAACATATATTGAAAATAAACTGCTTAATGTTAAATTAATGTGTTCGTTGCACACTACAAAACAAGTATATAAATCAATATCTATGGCTCATCGATGCTCAAAATCCCAGTGTTATGTCAATATCTGATCAAGTCGAGTTAACATATTGTATACATATAGGAGTAAAGGCATAAAAGTTGCAAATTTGTTTTGGTAGATTTTTGTAAAAAAAAAAAAAAAAAAGTTACCCAAATTATCGACAGGCTGTTTTGCTTTAACGGGCTCTTCAGACTGATCATCTCAAATTTGAGTTAACCTGAAGCCTAATTGGATTGAAGAAGCCTGAGGGTGAAACAGCATGTTGCTCTCAGATAAGTTACTCTACTTTCTATAGATGTTATTACAAATGTTTTCTTGAATTCACATTTAATTTTATGTCAGTTGCTTTTATATGTATATATATATATATATATATATATATACATACATACATACATACATACATACATACATACATACATACATACACACATAAACATACACACAAACATACAGTAGTATGCTTAAAAAAAAACATTTTAATTCTAGCCTGCCAAAGAGGAAAAGAAAGGGGACAAAGTTAATCCAATGAAAGATATCAGAATCCAGAAGCTTTGTATCAACATTTGTGTTGGTGAGAGTGGTGATAGGTTGGTTCGTGCTGGGAAAGTGTTAGAAGCACTTACTGGACAAACACCAGTCTTCTCAAAAGGTGATTTAAAATCTTTTTGCTGAGCTGTTTTTTTTAATTCTGTTTAAAAATATTAACAATCTTAACCAGGTGTTTTGATGGGAAGTTGCTTATTTACTTTATATTTTATATTATAATATTAACAACTCTTCGAATATTTTTTTATTTTATTTCTAAATGCCTATAAATGCTTGTTCAGATACCATTTCTAACATCGTATTATAAATGTTTCTAAACACTTGATAGTAAATATATTTAAAATAGTTTGATTTTTGTTTTAAAAAAAACAACAAAGAAAACAGTAAATTGCATATCAAAAAATTAATTACTAATAATAATAATTTGTATATCTATAATAATATTTATTATTTTCAAAGAAATATTGATGAAAATAATATTTTAAAAGTTTTTATGAACAAGAGCCTTAAAATGGAACTATTTCAGGCAGCCTAACTGTAGGATTACCTCTTATATTTATTTATAAAGAGATTTATCACAGCCATACAAACATACAGGTCTGTGATTCTTTGCTTACCTAAACACTTAAAGTTTAGTATTTTTAAATAAAGACCTTAATCCAAGAGCTGTTATATAAACCTAATTGTAATTAGTATTTCTGATGGATTTGGCTTAAAGAAAAATTCCAACAAGTTTTAATTTTTGGGGTCGTGCTCTTCTTTTTGTTAGGAAAAAACTTAGGCAATGTTTAAACAGTTACATATATATATAAATATGTATGTATGTATATATATATACATATATAAATATATATATATATATATACATATATAAATCCTAAATGTTTTGAATAAAGCTTTTAATAAAAATAAATGAAAGCATTTATAAATACAAAATTTATGTTTCTTAAACTTTTAATTAAGTTTAAACTTTAAAACATTAAATAGACAAAATGTCAGTGCGTAGCTGTAATATATGCCAATATTGGCAAAATAATACTAAAACCTGCTTTTATAAAAACTGTCAATAAATTTAAAATATAAATGTTAGAATTTGTTAGTATTCGTTGTTGCATTGGTACAAATTCTTTTTCAATATAAAGTTCTTTAATATTTGACACTTAGTCATATAATCATACCTAATTCAAGTTTTTTCTAAGGAAGCAGTGTGTTAAAATATTTAATTTTTTAAACACTGTATATTTTTATTATAGCTCGTTACACTGTCAGATCATTCTCTATTAGGCGTAATGAAAAGATTGCAGTTCATTGTACTGTTCGAGGAGCTAAGGCTGAAGAGATATTAGAAAAAGGTCTTAAAGTTAAAGAGTATGAGTTAAAGAAAAGTAACTTTTCTGCAACTGGCAACTTTGGATTTGGTATTGCTGAGCACATAGATCTTGGAATCAAATATGATCCAAGTATTGGTATTTATGGTATGGACTTCTATGTAGTTCTCGCCCGACCAGGATATAATATTGCTTACAGAAAAAAGAAGACATCTACTGTAGGATTTCCTCATCGTCTCACTAAAGCTGACTCAATGAAATGGTTTCAACAAAAGGTATGGTTTAAAGAAAAAAATTTGAAACTTGTTTTTTGCTTATTGTTTTAATAATTAATAACTTCATTTTTTTTCTTTTAGTATGATGGAATCGTGAAATAATACCTTGTGTACTGTATGTGTTTAAATAATAAAATCATGAATGGACGTTGTATTTTCTGATTTATAGAAATTATAACATACAAATAATATACTGATTATTAGGGTTTATTTTGATGGAGTGTTCTTTTAAACCGATGGTCTTTGAATACAATGTGATTTACTATTATTAACATCCAATTCAAAATCGATGCTGGAATATACATAGTTTACTAATTATCTGAAGAGTTTACATATTTTCTAGACAAGTTGATAAGACAGTGTTGATAAGCAGCATTACTCTTTACGCCTTCGTATTGCTTCTTCGGCAGTTGGCGGCTTCTTCTTTATAAATGTTGTGGCTTCCGCCTTACTAGTGGTGGCCACAGCCTGTGAGCTTTCGGGAAATAAAATAATAATTAACTGGCGTTAATAAGGAGGCAAAAGCCATTGTGGCTTCTATTTCCCCGAAAATTTCCGAGCTGTCTGCGGCTTCCATTTTTGTGACCTGTCGAAAGCGAAAGAGATTTTTCACGTTTGTTTTTAAGTTAACGCTCAATTTAAAAATTAAACGATGTATGTGATATTGACTTCTAATTAAGTTAGTGGTTTATTAAAAATACCATATAATAAATTTCTTTAAAAACCTGCAATTTATTTATGTATTAAGCGATAAAATCATACTCAAAATAATTTTTTCAGTCAGCAATCTTAAAAAGAAATTTTTGCAAATTTCAAGTAAATAAAAACCTATTCGCGATTACATACATGTCATTTGAATATTATAAAGTACGTTAAAGTTGCATATTATAACCACAAGATTTTATTGTTGAATGTTACAATAACAATATTGTGCCGTTGCGATATGCATACACTTCAATAACACTTCGCTTTAAAATTGATGATTTACGGAAATGTATCTTCCCGATCCTAAGTAAAATTTGTCTAAATAAATTCATAAATATATATGTATATTTTTACATATATAAATATATATAAATAAATACACATAATTACATGTGTGTGTGTATTTATATATGTGTATTTATTTATACATATATAAAAATATACATATATTAATGTGTGTATATATATATAATATGTTCAAAGTTAGAGACAGTGCATTCTTCTAACTATATTTATGATATAATAAGATAATATAGTATAAACTGCAAGTACGTCATGATATACATTGTTGGCTAAAAGGCACAAAATATAAGGGTGAGTTTCCACTCATCCGTTTTTTCACGGGATAGGAAAGGAAAAAATAATCACGTGAGCATGCGTAGTTTTTCCATCGGGCATATTAAAACTTATACTACGCATGCCCAAGAGATTATTTCTTCCGTCCCGTTCCCGTGAAAAAAACGGATGAGTGGAAACTCACCTTAAAGGTTTATAATATATATAAATACTACACAATTCTGTTCAAGCTTGACTTTTAATATTTTTCGAACCATACCAACTTTTAGTAACTTTTCTTTTGTATTTGCCAACAACATTAATTGTAGTTTTCTTATGAGCTTTAAAGCTCCGGACACTTCTCGACGCCATTTAAAGATTCTTTTGCGTTACTTATTTGTATAATTTAGTTTATAATACTTGATGACATCGAAAACATTGGCCACATATGTGACGGTGTTGCGAATACATGGTTGATGAGAACTGAAGAAAATAGAAAAATTTTATTTCGATGAGATCGACAAATTTTACTTAGGATCGGGTGGATAACCTGTTTACGAAGCACCCGTGGCGCTGTAGATAAAGCGATTAAAACATTGGCTCAACAGGTAGCACTAAATGATGGTATTCTAATTATAAATCAATCAACATTTCTATTATATAACTAGGAATCAAAAAACGTGTTAGTGATAAAATCTTCTGCTAGAGTTTTTCAAATATATCAAATGATAAATTTTTTTAAATATTTCTTGAATATTATTCCTTGCTTTTTTGTTTTGAAGAGTTTTTGACATTTATTATTATTTTTAACATTTATTATGTTTGACCTAATTATATATAAGTGTGTGCATTTGTTTATATATATTTTAAGTTTATAAAATTGTTTATTTTAGCTTCAAAAGTAATTAAATTTAAACATAACGGGTGATTACCAGGGCCGGTCCCTCGGGGATCGTCACGCACGGGGTTCCACATTTTCTCAAATAAAAAAGTCTTTATTTGATAATTTAAAAGTCACATACTTATTTTGTGGTTTCCGACTTCAAACTAAAGTTTAGTGTAATCACTTATTTTAAAGTTTTAAACTCGCCGGATTCATTATGGTGTTTTCGGAATCGGTTTGTTAAAAGGAAGAGCCTCCACCGGAATTGCTATTACTGATGTAGAACATAAAGATACAGATGAAAAACTGTTGTCTGAAAGTGACATTCTAATGATGAAGTAAATTTGCGTAAACTTGTTGGAAATAATAATAATAATAATATAACATCTGATATTGTAGCTCTCGATAATCAAGAACAAACTTTCCATCAGCCATTAGGCAGTGACCCTGGACTGTGGTCTGAATAAGTGGCTTATGGAATGGTTTTGAAGTCGGTTAACTTATTCAAAATATAAATATACCGTGTTCTGTTTCTGTTGCAAATTGTTTCCAACATCTAAAAATAGATTTTTAAAAAATGACAAAGAACAGATTATATTATATTGATATAAATAAAATCATTTATATTTTTTTCAATAATAGTAGTGGATACTTTTTTTGTTTGATATATATATATATATATATATATATATATATATATATATATATATATATATATATATATATATATATATATATATATATATATATATACATATATATATATATATATATATATATTATATATATATATATATATATATATATATATATATATATATATATATATATATATATATATATATATATATATATATATATATATATATATATATATATATATATATATATATATATATATATATATATATAGGCTTCATCATTTTAATACCAAAATTGATATGTTTATCTATTTCTTTTTTATTTGTTTAAGTTTACATATAGAAACTATATTTTTTTGTTAATTTTAACATAATTTAATTTGATCACGTAACTAAGATTAAAAAAAAAAATTAATTTTTAAATATTCTCAAATTCTGACTAGTAGTTTTTATTTTATACTCTTTCAATTGATCATGATTCTAGTTCTTTATTTTACACGTCATATAGCTGTTTTTAGCTCAATCGCGAAAGTGTTAACTTCTTCACCTTCAGACAATCAAGTGTCTGAAGTCACCTCAAGACACTCGGTTGGAAGCACGCATAAACAGAGTAAAAGCATTACATTACCAGCTTGTGATTTTTTAAATTTACAAACATCATCTTTTTCTTTTTTTGGTATTACAGTTTGCTGAACCTTCTCTCCAATTTCAAGACAATCGTTACGGTAAGCTCCCAATAGGTCAACGCTGTTGAATACATGGAACCATCTACGACATGAGTATTTTAAAGCTTTGCACTTACTGTTATAGTAACACATACCAGTAAAGTTTTTAATCTTCAACAACCAAAAAATTAATCTATTTCAAGTCAGTTCAACGTTATGCTTTACGTTTGCACAACGTTATATTTAATTTTTATCGGAATTAAATTTATTTGTTTTATATTATATATATATATAAAACAATTAATTTATTTGTTTTATATATATATATATATATATATATATATATATATATATATATATATATATATATATAAATATATATATATATATATATATATATATATATATATATATATATATATATGTACGCATTAAATAATATATATTTATATTTGTATATATGTACTTATACATATATATTTCATATATATGTATAAGTACATATATATCTCTCGTCAGAATAACAATTTTCATCTTGATCATCATAAAAGCTATTTTGACCATGGTCATCACCATCAATATCATTTTCATCTGCAAGACACCAATGCTTTTCTTTTTATATAGTCCATCACAAACACCTAAGAGTATAGTGTGATACAGACACAAATTATAGAGACTAGGAGATTATCGTCCAAATTTTATCATTACACTTGCACCGTCGCCGGTTAAACCAAATATATGTTTTTAAAATTATTAATATAAGTGTTTAAATATTGTTCTACATTTTCAACTAATTGTACAGCTGTACACGAATTAAAAATTCTCACTAAACTCAGGTTATACACTTCAGAGACAATCCTATGCAAATTGGTATTTAGACATTTCCGAATTTTCATACTTGTCCATTCATTAAGTGTAATGCTAAACTGTCAGCCTTTTTTAATAATTTCTTGTAACAATTCTAATATTTCCAATTTCTTTTTTTCATAAAATTTATGATTTAAATTCATAACATTTATTTCGGCTTTAAGAAGATTACAACTTAATTTTGCTAAATTTTCACTAATAAAGCTAGACTTTGTATTCGCCCTAACTGATATACCATCAAGAGCGGCCATTTAGCAACAATTTCTTCTAAAGGCTTTCTTGCAACTAAAAAGAAGATGTCGATAGTTTTAAATCGTTTGGCGGTGGAATTTTCTCCTGTTTCTTATCGTGTCGGTAGAGAAATTCCATATTTAACTTTTTAACCATTGATGAAGTATTTCCATCTCTGTTTGATATTATCGTTGAACACTTATTGCATTTACCATTTTTCAAATTGGTATATTGGGTGAAATAGTGCCACACTTTTGAATTCACTAAATGCGGAAAAAACAAAATATATGCTTTTCCATAAAGTAAATAAATCAGAAAATATTCCTCTTAAATTACCAGATCTTAATATTAATAAAACTTATATTAAAAGGGAATCTTACATAAACTTTTTAGGAGTGAAATTGGATGAAAATTTAAAATGGTGTTCACATATAAATAGAATTGAAAAAATAATCTCAAAAAATATTACTATGATGTTTAGGGCTAAACCCTTTCTAAATATATCATCTCTGAAAAAATTATATTTCGCCTTTATTCACAGTTATTTGTCTTATTGTAATGTTGTGTGAGCTAGTACTAGCCATACAAAAATAAAGAAACTCTACAATATACAAAAACATGCATGTAGAATAGTATTTGGAGCCGACAGAAATGTTCCTTGCGAACCACTTCTAAGTGTGCTCGGTGCTTTAAATATATATTAACTCAAGTTTTATTGTTTATGTTTAAAACAAAAAAGGAATTGTCTCCTAAAATATTTCAATCTTATTTTAATAAAATTAACCATAGGTACTCAACAAAGTTTTCAGAAAACAATTTTGTTGTTCCAAAACATAAATTAAAATTAACTTCCTATTCAATTAAATACCGCGGACCTTATCTGTGGAAGAAATTTCCAGATATTGTTAACAAAAAGCAGACTACATTAGAGCAATTTAAGGATGAATCAAAACGATTATTATTGTTCATGGATCTCAATAAATCCGACTTTAAATGTTTATTTTAAAGTAAACACAATAAAAAAAAATAAAAAAAAACAGATTCAATTATATCAATGATATATGATAATATGAATAAGAAAAGAAAGAAAAAGGAAAAAAAGAAAAAAAAAAAAAAAAAAAAAAAGAATAAGAAATCCAAGTGATGATGTCACAATTGATGATGTCATAAGTGATGATGTTACATATTCATTTAGTGTTAATTATGAGATTTTATTTTTTCAATTTCTTTTATATTCAGTAATTTTTTTTTTTATTTTTTTATATCAACTTATTTCTTAAACATTTTAGCAACTGTTAAGCATCTTAACGCTTCTTAATTAATTCTTATTTTTTATTTTTTTTATTATATTAGTTATTTTCTATTTCATTTCTAATTGTTTCTTTTATATATATATTTGTATGTTACGGTTATGTAGAATTTTTAATGGGGCTCGGCGATAAAGCGAAATGTGCCTTCTTCTTGCTCCAGCCATCAATTTATATAAATGTATATGCAATGTAAACATTTTTTAACGGCGAAATAAATTACACTAAAAAAAAAAAAAAAAAAAAAAAAAATTTTTCGCCATAATGGGGCTGTATAAAATGTCACATTAAAACTATGATATTTCACTTTTTTTCTAAAATGGCGAATTGATCAACTATTTAATTAATAAAGGAAAAATATTCTTTTTAAAGTTTTTTAAATACGCGCTAAAAGAATGCTTTTAAAACAATTGCTAATATAAAAACATTTGATTAGAAAAAATTTTAAGTTATGAAGATAGTGTGTATTCGGACATACATGGAAACATATATAAACTTGAATGTTCTCAAAGCACCTAAAAAGCCGTGGTCAAGTTCAAGCTAAATAGGTCGGGAATTCACAGATCCTACTACTGTAGGGTTTTCTAGAAAAGGAATAGATATAGTGAGACGGCGCGCCGATGCGTACGAAACAAAGACCGAACAGTCAAATCATGAGACTCGCTGAATCTTAAACCGGGTATTTACACACGAACTCGCCGAATCTAGGTATCCGGAGCCGATAAACCCTGATTATTTATGTCTTTTGTTTTATTTCTTAAATTGCATCTGAAAGAGGCATTATTCATGTTTGTTATGCTTGTGGCTTAATATTTCGTTATATAAGAAAGAGGAAAATATATTAGCAAAATATATTTCTATAATCAACTGAAAAATTTGACAAAAAATTAATTATTATAAATAATACAATTATATATTTGCATATCTGCCTTTTCTAGATCCAAACATAACGTTGATCCACATTATAAATCCAACGTTGTTCCAAATTATAGAGATCGATGTTGATTCAATGTATATAACTCAACGTTAATCCATATACATTGGATCAACGTTGATCTCTTTACATAAAATCTACGTTGGATTTAGATCGAAAGAACAACCAACTTTCGCCATGTTTTTACATACATTGAACCAATGTAGTTTTGCCAACTATTTTTTATCACATTGTTACTAAGGTTTTCATTAATTTAAAGACGATAAAGCTAACTTTGGATCAACGTTGTTTTTACATCGGAGAAAATAGCTGACGTTCGCGATGTGTTTACATACGTTGACCCAAAGTAAGTGTACTAATGTTACTTTCTGTCCCTGTTTTTCAATAATAGTTTCTTTTATTTACTTAGTCTTTCATAACATTTCATTTATAAATACTAATGCATCAAACTCAAGCCTACAACCAAATGATAGTTCGGCTTTATATTTGATAAATTGATTAAATCTTCTTCATCCTCATCATCTCTAAGACCTATCGTTCTCCTTATTAAGACCAAAATCACCTTGTTCGTAAGTTCTCGTCTCTGTTTTGGGATTTTTGATTTCAGGAGTCTAAGAAGTGGAATAGGTCTAGGAGGTAGAATAGGCCTAGTCTCGGTGAAGGCCGTTGCTTTGAAATAGATTTAATGCGCTCTTTTTGTTCACTATGCCGTCTAATAGCTGAAAAGTATTCTTGTATTGAAATGGTTTTCTCACAAAGTAGATCTTTAAGATCTGTAAGAGCTTACACTTTTAAAGGATCCATGATGTATTTTTAACGGTGTGTTCTCTAACTCTCTTCTTTATTCTCTAACTTCAAGCTTTTTTCATTCTCTATAACATCTAAGGCAAAAAAATGTTTTTTCCATATATTTGAAGTCAGTATTTCTGTTTGATAAACAAGTTGTTTTTTTGTATAAATATATTATAAACCGATAAAACTCTTTATTTTCTTTAAATTTTTGCAATATTTATAATATCTTTAGATACTCCTATAACTGTCCTAAATTTATAATAACTTCTGATAGCCTAATAACTGTCCTAAACTTTTACAAAATTTTGTTAGTATAGTATGTTGGGAAATAGGATTATCATGATAAGTGGTTTATCTATTATCGTTTTTAATTAATTGGATCTCTTCATGTTTTACTTTGTTGATATCAGTTTGTATTTTTTATTTTATATCTTCTACTATCTTTAGGTTTATTGCTTTAAACAAACTATTAGTATAAAGCTTCTTTTTTACTCTTCAAACAGAGTTGGGTGGAACATAATTTAAGGCCATGGTATCGCCATCAATTTTAGTGAAACGTTTTCAAAGATGATATTGGTTATCACTATTCAAAGTTTTAAGATAATAATCTAAAGCTGTCCTGTCTGAGTTCAAAATTTCCATTGACTCTTTTAAATTTCTATTAACTCTTTCTAAGATCCATTTTATTAATAAGTTTATGTTAGGTAGTATATCATATGTATGTTTTTTCTCTTATTACAAGAATGATGTATTATGGTGAAATAAATATAATATGTCGCCTTTTTTTATTTTTATTTTTAACCGTTTTAATTGCTTCTTTAGCATGCGGAGTTTAGGAGGTAGCAAGGTTAGCTCAGTGCAACTGTGAATCCATTTAGCGTAATAGACAAATAATCCAATCATTCTGTTTAGTTCTCGAAAGGTTCGTGGATCAGGCATATTTATTAAGGCTTCATACCTTTTTGAATCAGGTTTCATGGTTCCGTTTTCAATAACATGGCCTGAAAATTCGATATGATTTTTTTAAAGTTTTAACTCTTTTCCATGTTTATTTCTATATTGGTCTCTTAGCTCTTTAGCTGCGTTTAGACACCTTTTTTAGATTTATTTCGTGCTATTGTTCATCTTTTCTGCCAATTATTAAATCGTTAAGGTAGACATAGGTGTTTTTTTTATAGCTAATTGGTCTGAATAAACTCGTCCATTACTCGTTGAAAAATTTGAACCGCGTTAGTACAACCGAAAGGTAATCGTTTAAACTCATAAAGTCTACCATTAGCTTCGAATGCAGTAATTTTGTAGTCTTCGGGTCGTTGTTTGACCCGATGGTTGGCGGATTTGAGGTCAATGGTACTAAAAACTTTTTTCGCTGTTATATATTTTTTTCGACTGCTTAAGGGAGACCTAAAGGAGACGTCAAAAATAGTGCTTTTCGGGGGTCTAGGTGAATTCAAACCCCCACTGAAATCTGGCCCCCGTGTTACATCTACCGATTGTTTACTTGTAAATAAAAGTCTTTGTCTAGAAATTTTGATAAATTTATCAAAATAATGAGCAATCGGTTGAATATTGGTGACTAAACAAGAAGTATTTTTCAACACCTAAGCTATACGATCACATTAAATCTCTTCAAACTGAAAATAAAAAAGTCTTAATTTGATATTATAAATATTTAATAAAAAAAAAGGTTTAATAAATTATTAGTACTTTACCATTTATTTTTTTTGTAGATATTTTGCGTAAATAAATAACTTCGTCTTAAATAGTAACCGTGAAAATGGTAAGATCTTCTGAAATTGACGAAGAAAAAAAGTCAGATAAGATTACCAAGGAAGGGACAAAGAATGGTTTGCTTACTTTTCTGATTTATTTATCTATGCATAAAACCATAACAATTTTAAATTTATGTATTAATTTTTTTAACTTAATTTTCCAAGAAAAAGGAATGCGAGTTGGCTCACGTTATCAAGCTGAAATACCAGAGTTATCTCAAGGTAAATATTCGGTATATCAAACTAATTAAAAATAATTTAAATAAAATATATATGCTGGTATAAACACAGAAAAACGCAATTTATTAATTATGTTATATATTTATTACAGTTTATATTACATAATAATTTACTATAGATAAAGTTGTTGATGATGAAAGTACTTGTTTGGAACCACTTTTAGTTTGGTCTCCTCATGACAAAATAAATGATAACAAATGTATGTATTTTTTGTAATAGATATTTTATTACACATATTTAAAAAAAATGTATTAGATTGATATTAAAGCAGCCATTATAAAGTAAATTTTTTTGAAAAAAACAATAGAGAAAGATTTATTTATTTTTAATGTGCTTTGATTAAAATGAAGAAGATACTATTAATATATTATTTTTATCCTCTAATATTTTGTTTTCTGTTTTTTTTTTGTTTATATATTTATATTATTTTTCGATATATTCAAAATCAACTTTTAATTTTATTAATTCTAGTATAAATATTTAAAATATTGACACTAAACTCTAAAATTGATTTTGATATATAATAATGTGGTTGTTAAATTTTGATATTTGAGTTATTTAAATTTATTATATTTAAAGTTAGATAAGCAATTTTTATCTTTTTTTTTTATATGATTTTTTTATAATGGAATCATTTATGAACAACTATTGTTTGTACCTGAAATTGTTTAAAATAAAAAAGTCAAATAACAATTTTTGCATTTTATATTTAGTAGAAGAATATTTAACAACAGCAAAAGATAAATATGGCTATTCTATTGAACAGGTATATCATTGTTTATTTCTATGTACAATTATTTGTATACAGGAGTCAAAATAACTGTCAAATATCAGCTACTCTTAGATCATTTCCAAAAGTCAAGCTTTTAAGACAATACAAGGAAAGGATGGGTGGCTAATGGTACCTATTTGGTATAAATGTATATATATATATATATATATATATATATATATATATATATATATATATATATATATATATATATATATACATATATATATATATATATACACACACACACACACATATATATATATATATATATATATATATATTTATATATATATATATATATATATATATATATATATATATATATATATATATATATATATATATATATATATATATATATATATATATATATATATATATATATATATATATATATGTATATATATATATATATATACAGTCCCTTCTAAAAGTTTCTTTATAGTTCCATTATAACACCTAATTTTTTTAGATCATTTAAATAATAAATATTTAGGGTTCCCGCAATGTCATGAAGTTCTAGAATATCAGAGTAAATTGCGTTCTATGTCTCCAATTTAGACAAATTTTGATAAATTTATAGAGATCAGTCTTTGATCCTATGATAATTTGTTTATCAAATCTAGAAAGTTCTTTATTAGTAGAATCTACATATATATAACTTTTATGTTCATAGAAATTTGCTTTCAAGTACAAACAATGTCGAAATCAAGCAAAATCATGAATTTTTAACTTCTACGGTGTATTTTATGACGCTAATAAATTTACATAATATGTATTGTATGTATAATTGTTCATTAAGCCATTAAGGTCATCAGTAATACAATGTCTTATATTAATGTCAAATTATTATTAATAATGATAATAATAATAATAATAATAATAATAATAATAATAATAATAATAATAGCAATAATAATAATAATAGCAATAATAATAATAATAATAATAATAATAATAACAACAATAATAATATCAATAATAATAATAATATCAATAATAATAAATTAGCTTATTTTAGATTTTTTTAATTTCAATAATAATGATATTTTGTGAAATCTTTTTTTATTGAGTTCTGTTAACCCTATATTGCGCCTTGTATATTTAAAGAAACACAGTGTATTTTACTTGTTTTCACAGTGTTAATTAAAAGAAACATAGCCATTTTTAATATATTGGTAAAGTATAACATTAAAAGGAGGCAAAAGGGCAAAAAAACAACCGCTGGTTTCATAAAATCTAAAAGATATTGCAAAAAGTTTAAAGCCTGCTTTATATTCGTGATGTTAAAAATATTGTTCATATGCTTTTGAAAATTTATTGAATTATATGAAAGGTATGCTTTTGATTTTTTTATCATAAGTTCTTATAAGATTAGGCATTAGAATTGTCTATTTTTATTTGAGTCATTTTACTTTGCTCTTTAGATACAGCTTAAATTTAGTTTGTTTCTTTAAAGCAACAACATCCGTTTAGCTATAATAATCAAGTAAATAATTTATTTATTTCATTTTAGATGAATGTTAGAAATATCTATAGCAATAGCAGAAAATCGACACAAGTTATACGAGATCTACCAGCCCCTGATGTTTCAGAGGAAAGTGACTTGTCAAGTGACAGCGAAGACGAGATGCTTGATTTAATTGAAATTGAAGAAGAGGAAGAAATCTTAGATAGCAGTAGTGATGATGAAAAAGCTGCTCTCATAGAAAATACCAAAAAAAACAATAAGGCCAAAGATAAGTTTGGAAAAAACAAAATCCAAATACTATTACCAAATTAGAATTGGAGTTTGAAGCATTGGAGTATAATGATGATCCTGACAATGACGAGCCAATATATTTCTTTAGAAAATTTATCACAAATGAACTACTTGATATAATTGTAAACGAGTCTAACAAATATGCTGTTCAAAGCAATCCAAATGACTCTTTGAAAAAAGCAAGAGCAGAGTTGGAACAGTTTATTGGGATATTGTTTGCTACAAGCTTAATGAAAATGCCTAGCACTCGAATGTACCGGAGTAAAGAGTTCTACTTTAACAAAGTTGCAGATGTTATGACTTTAAAACGCTTTGAAAAAATTAAAAGCAAATTGCATTGCAGTGATAATTTAAGCCGCCAAGATAAATGTTCCGATAAACTATACAAAATTCATCCAGTGATTGACTATTTAAAATATAAATTTGTTCAGCTAAGACCATATGAACAACTCTGCATTGATGAACAAATTGTTCCATTCAAAGGAAAGTCAAATTTAAAGCAATATAACCCAAAAAAGCCCAAAAAGTGGGGTTATAAGATGTATGTGCTATCTGGAACTGACGGTTTGGTTCAAAATTTTGAAATATATACAGGATCTATTGGCACGTGTCGAAATCAACCAGATCTTAAAGCTTCTGGAAATATTAAATAAAGAAAGATCAACCTATTGCGCGTTGTTTCTTTAAAGAAACAAACACCAAAAAGACCTTTTGAATAAATACTTTTAAAAAAAAGTTTTTTTTATATTTTTAGATGTGTTTTATGTTGAAAAAAAAGCATGCACATTTTTTTCTATTCATTTTTCATAATGTGTGCAATATAGGGTTAATAATAAAAGTTTTCTAGAAGATTTTTTGTTAGTCATGTGATATGTATGCAGTCTGCTGTTGGCAGAAAACATTTTCTTTGAAATGTAAAAAAGTTTGAAAATGTGATGTGTTTATTTATTTTTCAAAATCCTATAATAACTGTAATTATCCACTATGCTTGATGGACAAACTTGTTAAAATCAAACAGTGTAAGTTAAAAAATGGATTTTTCTGTATATTAATAGATTATTACTAGTTTTGTTGATGAAAAGACTATCAATTTACTAGGGTTGTGCAAATATCAGGAAGTAGCTAGTGAAAATCAATATTATTAGCCTATTAGGTCTTTTTAATTTTTGTTTTTCTAATCTAGTAAACTCATGCTCACAAAAGAAGTCACACATGTATGACATTGTATATTGTCTAATAAGACAATTTATAATATAGTTATATAATAATGTATAATATATATATAACAGATAACTGAATAATACTGATTATTTCCAGAGTAATGTCAAATACACCTTGACTCAAAGTCATATAATAACTCGAAGCCATATAATTTGGCTGATTGGACATTCCTGTGACAAGATAACAAGGGCACACCTACCTTCTGGTTGTGACGTTATTAGAAACTTTGTATTCTATCACCGGAAGCAAAAATTAACAACGGCTGAAAGTGCCCAGAAAGTATATGGATAGAATATCTGGATAAAATCTGGACTTCCGATAAGACATATACCAGATATAGTTCAGAAAATTAAAGATTTGTATAAACAGCATGTTGGATTAAAGAAACACAGGTCAAGAAACAATGCAAAGGATTTCCAAAATCAAGAAGAATATAGTGAAAAACTTGATAATTTATTTGATATCAGCCATGCTAATTCGAATGAGTTGATAAAGGATCAAGAAGATTATCAATTTCTTAAATTGCAGCAAGAGTTGAGAATCGGATGCATTGGGTCTGTTGACAACAAAACCTTTCACGGTGAAAAACGATCAGCTGAGTGCAGAGCGTGATTACTCAAGCAAACAGCAGCTTTATTGGGTCAGCAGTTTCTAAATGCAGCTGCAACTGAAGAATGTTATGATGAGTCAATATAATAGGATCAGCCAAATCACTTCAGTCTGGCCAGTCAAGTGCCAGTTCCTTTAATGAAAAGCAATAAGAATCTGCTGATGAATTCATTTTCAAGCCTAAAACTCCAAGAACAAGTAGCAATAAAAAGCCTAAATCCTTTGTGCTGACTTCAAAAATCAAAGCAGTATTAGACAGGACAAACACAAGCATTCACACATCAACGATGATCCTGACATCTATGGTAAATGAAATAGGCTGCTTCCATAGTTCTTTCAAAAAGTACCATCAAAGACAGCTGTTTCTTTGAGAAACTTCAGAACAGATCAAACAGATCAACTTTCGAGCAAGTAAATTGTCCGTGCACTGAGATGGCAAGCTTCTGCCTGATATCACTGGAATAAACACAGAACAAGTGGATAGATTGCCAGTTTTGATATCTTCTCTTATTGATGGAAGCATCAAATTTCTGGGTGTGCTAAAGTTGTCTTCTGGGTCAGGAAAGTCAGCAATGCAGGCAGTTTTAGAACTTTTGAATTTGTGGCAGACAGATCCACTAGTGATCAGAATGTGCTTTAATACAATGACCTCAAATACAGGTCATTTAATGGGGCCTGCACACTTTTGGAGTCAGCCATTGGTAAAAACTTGCTATGGTTAGCTTGTTGCCATCTCATGTTTGAGGTGCTGCTGTCAGATGCATATGGAGTGTGCCTTGGTCAATTCACTGGATCTGAGATTTTGATATTTAAAAAATTTAAAGAAAACTGGGTCAAACTACCTCACTTCAACTTTTAAGGAATTCATTGCTGAGCAACTTCAACTCAGCAATCCTCGAGATGACTACAAAGAATTTCTTCAATTTGCAGCTTCCATAATTGGTCTGAACAATTCTACTGTAGTAGCTGTTCGAATTCAAAAACCTAGTGCCCTTCATAGAATACATTGGGTGGCAAAGGCACTCTACACAGTGAAGATTAAATTGCTCTTTAATGGTAACGAATCTATAATAAAGCTAACTGCTCGAGAATTGCAAGGAATACAACAATTCAACAGATTTGTAGTCAAAATATATTTTTAGTCTTGGTTTTCATGTCGAATGGTTGCTGATGCACCAGTCGATGACATTCTTCTGATCCAAAGATTCCATGATTATGATGACCTTGGTTTGCAGACATTAGGTCTGAAGATGATGGTCCGGCATTCTTGGTACTTAAGCCAAGAGCTTGTAACACTCTCTCTCTGTTTTCTCAACATCTATCCTGTGAAAGAATGCAAAGCTTGTATCAGAAATCAAAGATGATCAAGGCTTGCATTTGGTCAAGTCACTTCCTCATT